AGAGCAGCGACACTGGTCACCTCCTGGGGGCCAGGGAGACCAGCCCAAGGCCAGTGGTGGAAGCAGGACCAGAAACTGCAGGACAGAAACACCCACACGCTCAAAAGCTGAGAGACACCAACATGCTCACCCTCACCACAGCTGGCCGTGCCAGAAAGACCCTTTTTGTGGCCCTCGGGTTTCAGGTGTGTGCCCGTCAGCATGCAGAAGAGCCCAGTGCAGGCAGCACAGCAGGTGCTCCAGCATGGGTGGAGTGGTGGAAGCAGGACCAGAAACTGCAGGACAGAAACACCCACACGCTCAAAAGCTGAGAGACACCAACATGCTCACCCTCACCACAGCTGGCCGTGCCAGAAAGACCCTTTTTGTGGCCCTCGGGTTTCAGGTGTGTGCCCGTCAGCATGCAGAAGAGCCCAGTGCAGGCAGCACAGCAGGTGCTCCAGCATGGGTGGCGATGCCCATGGCGGGGGTGGCAGGGGGGTGGGTTGGCAGTGGGATGTGTTGCAGCTCCTGCTAGAGCAGAGTCAGGCCTCCAGCCCTTCCCCCGGCTTCCTAGGGCTGTGACAGCACTTCAGCTGCTGTCAGCATCAGAGATGATTGGGAACGGGCTGGGGTCTCTCCTGTCCCCATCCTTCATAGGTGGAGCAGGGTAGCAGGTGCCTCTGCCCGTGCTGGGAGCCAGCACAGATGGCATGAGGGCAGGGAGATCTGCAACCTGAAGGATGCATGCAGCGATGGCAGAACGAGGGGCACCAGGTAAAACTGTGCAGAGGAAGAGGATCTCCACCGCAGGAGTGGGCTAAGGGGACCTGGCTTTCTTCTCACAGGTAATCCAAAAAGGGCCAGACAGCATGCTGCAGCACAGGGAGGGCATCGTGCAGAACCACAGGGGCAACAGGAGGGAGAAGCGGCATGGTCTACCCTTCCCTCTGCTGCCCCCTGAGAGACACACAGTGCTCTGAGTGGGCTGCACTGCTCCTGCTGCCCCTGCTAACGCAGCCCAGGTGACCCCAGAAGAGATCACAGCCACCTAAAATGGGCCCCTGATGAAGAGTGCTGCAGTGCAGGTACTCGATGGGAACCAGAGGAGCCACAGGCTGGGAAGGATTTACCAGAGGTCCCCAAGTGATCACAACTGCCCCAGGGCATCAGTGCCCAGCTGCCTGCTTCCTGCAGCACTGAAATAAAACAGAGGGTGCAATAAACACGCAGCAGGCAGAAAAGCCTCATAAAGTTCAGTGTAGGCCTGAAACACACCCCTCCTTTCCAATTCTGCTCATGTCTGCAGGTCTATGGAGCTGATAGAGACCACCTGTTTGACCACTGAACCATCCTGTCTCACTGGACTGCCTCCAGTATAAAGCAGTCACACAGAAGAGATCCTCTCCACCAAGGCTCACATAGACATCAGCTGAACTGAAGTTTTGGCCCATAAAGGAAGCTCAGCTGATGGACCCAACAGATCCATCCCCAGAGATGTTACCAGGAAACCATTTCTGACTACCCCCAGCTACTTCCGGCCTGGCCAGAAACCTGTGGGGCAAAGTCAACATGAGGACACCAGCTGCAGAACTGCTGCTCAGCCCTCTCCCTGCATGAGTAGAGACAACACCGAGAAGGCCTCAGGAAAGACCCTTTCTTTCCTCACAGGTAGTTCGATCCTCCTGGAGACTCAGCCTGAATGCTAGCCTGAAGAAGGATTCCTGGAGTGAGCAAGCAAGTTGGGAAGTTGCTGTCTCTGGAGGAGACTGCTGAGCAGACTGGCTGCCACATTCATGTTTAAAATGCCCTCAGCAGAGCACCTGACCCACACCTCACATCAGTAAAGACAACATAAAGGGGCCAGGACACAAGATAAAAGACACAGGCAAGAAGGCTCTCTAGCAGAGCCCCAGGACTGCACAGAAAGAGTTCCCTATTTTAAGGGGATAAATATTTGCCTCAGCTGCTTTTTATGTCACATAAAACACATCAGGGAAAAAAAGCAGCAATATTCAAACCCTAGGCTGTGTCTTTAGTTCATTCTGTTACCAACTTAGCTACTTAGGTGTTCCTTCAATGGTGTTACCCAAGAAGCTTTCCTAGCTAAGCCCCGCATATGCAACCAGTCTGCCCGAGCATGTCTGCTTCCCACACCTGACAGAGACCTGTATCAGTCACCTAGGCAGGACAGCACAGCCCTGCCCAGTCTGGCTTTCCACTTGTCCACTTTATACCACCACCAAGAGATGGGAGGAACATGCTTTTAACAAAACCAACATTTTCTGGGAGTTCCTGGGGAGGGGGAAGCGGTATTTACAGAAGCCATTTGTCAGAGGCTAGAGCTTCTTGGTTTCTATCTGATGCCGTCTTTACTTCTCTAGTTTGTGAAATAAGACGCCGGTGTCAGGTCCAAGCTGTCTCCCTTCAAAGGGACATGGCTTCCCACTGTAGCGTGGCAGAAACGTCAAACTTGAGAGACCTCTCTCTTCTGGCTCAACAGCCAGCCTGGAAAGCAACTTGTCTGCAATGTGTGGGATCACGGGCTGCAGGAGAGTCCCATAGACACGCAGGCATTCCAGCGTAACATGGATGATGGTGTCAAGCCAGAGCTGCTCTGCAGGGTCTTTTCGGTCAAGTTTCCAAGGCCTGTGTCTCTGGAAAAAACTGTTGGTCTGCCTTACGCACAGGACAATACATTCTAAAGCCTTGTAGATCTGGAAACCTTCAAAATAACTAGCCACCTGCAGAGGCAGAGAAGCCACTGATGCCACAAACTCATAGTCTTCAGCAGAAGCCCTACCCATGCCTTTTGTCTCCCTGTAATCCAAGACCTTTGGAAAACAAGACTCTGAGAAACAGGGGTAAGTGTTGCTGGGGTTAATGCTGAGGGCTGTTGACCGATTCAGAAGCCCTCCAAGCGCATCTGCCAGTTCTGAATTCACAAGCTTAACAACCTTCTCATCATAATAGTCACAATCCCGCTCAGGTACACCCTGCCTTAGCAGGAAGTACCGAAATCCGTCTACTGTGTACTGTCTGATACAAGCAAAGGGGTCAATCACATTGCCCAGGCTTTTGGACATCTTCTGCCCACGGACAGTCCAGTGGGAGTGCACAAAGATTCGCTCGGGGGGAGGCAGACCTGCTGCCATCAGCAGTGCTGGCCAGTAGACAGCATGAAACTTGAGGATGTCCTTGCCCACAACATGGTGCACGGCAGGCCACCACTCACCATGTGTCTCAGGGTAGCCCACCACGCTCAGATAGTTCACCAGGGCATCTACCCATACATAAATAGTTTGTGTTGAGTCACTGGGGACAGGGATACCCCACTGCAGCCGGCTTCTCTCACGAGAGACGGACAAGTCTGGCAAGTCCTCTTCCAGCCAGTGGAGCACACGCTGGTAGAAAGGGTCAGGGGAAATGGCATGTGGGTTGTCCTGGAGCCACTTCCGCAATGGATCCCGGAATGATGAAAGCCTGAACATATAATTCTCTTCTTTGGTCCAGTGCACCTGAGCAGGCAGAAGAGAAAAGAATTACGGCCCAAATGCTCTGCAAAGAGTTTTATGCTTTGCACACAGCATTCTCAGCATGGAGTTCGCCGCATGCTCCCTCTGCATTTGGGTGTGCTCCCCACCACATGTGAAGCCCCTGGTATCTATGACTAGCGGGAACTCTCTCCTAAGACACTGCCTCCCTGGGTTCCCCAGGGCAACAGTAAGGATTTAGGCACTTGGGATGGTTCAGCACTCCGCTTTTAAAGAAGCTCATGCCCCCAGGGAAGGAATACCTTTCTACCTGCCAGATTTATGTGTCATCAGGCAAGAATTAGGAAGATGAGAACATGCTTTCTTAAAAACATAGTTTTGCAATAACAGTAGAAAATCATGAAAAGACAAAATGACATTGTTAATTACTGCCTTACTAACAACCCTGGTGCATGCCTTTGCTTTTCTCCTAGGTGCTATGTTCCTCTTTTTCCCCAGTTTAAGCATTAGTGCATCTTAGTTGCTAACTTTGTTAGCCTATAATCATGTGAAAGTACTAACAGCACTTCTCCCACACACTTACAATTCATTAAACGACACATTTAGCTAAATCAAGTAAAACTTTGTGGGTTGATATGGTATGACTGAGCTGTGTAAAGGCACTCAAGAGATCTATGGCTAGATCAAGAATTCTTACCTTTTAAAGCTAAGTAAGACTTTAAGATGAGGCAGTATAGACTTTGGCATCACACAAGAGAGTTTCAGTTTCTAGCACCAAATCAAACAACTTCTGACTGAGACAGAAAGTGCCTCACTCTCAACACAAACAGTAAAGAACCTACCACAACTCAAGCTCAGATACCCTAAGGAATAATTTGTCCTAGTGGCACGAAACTGCTTTCAACTGTAGTTGAATTTATCTAATTTCAGTAACAGACAGCAGTAAATACTACCTTTGCTTACTTCATTAGAAGGTCACCCCAAAATTCCCTACACAAATAAGACACCAGAAGTATGGGGTTTATGGCATGTTGTAAACTACCCCTTTTCCTTCACAAAACCCTCAAGCAACAAACTGTCTCTTTCTGGTTGGAGATAAACACCTACCATCTCTTTCTACCCCCTTGCAAGATCTTCTTTGCACCATGCACGCTACCGTTTCTCTTGAACAGTTTGATATGCAGCTAAGGCAACTAGCTGTTCTCACGGTATGTTTGACTTTGAAGCCTACTGACTCTATTTTTGATCTGAAGAATGATTTCTCTGCCTAGAAACATATCTTTTCCCCAACTATGTTAGGTGTTTTATCAAGAGATATTATTTGCCAACATACCCCTTTCTGTGTGAACCAACACTGCTATGCCCCAGCCTCACACAAGTATCACACGAGCATAACATCTGCTTAGCTCTAAACCATGACTACCTGCAACTGCTGGATTAAATAACGTAACTCCTTCTGCCTTACAGAAAACGCAGTGGCAGAGAGACTCTTGGTCAGGTACTACACTCCTGGTTGCACTGCTATTTCGGTCATCAGACCAGGCAGATGATGTTACGGTGTTTTACGTAGGGCCAAAACCTAGGTAACGAGATTAATGAAAAGTGTCCTGAGGCCAAACTGAACTGCCTCACAAAATAGGTCTGAAATGCCAAACACCCAAAGAACACCTCAGTTATAAACACCTTTAGCCTTCTGCACAGCTAACTTTTCATCACTGCTTTAAAACCCTGTTTCCAGGCCAGCAGCCTGTGGAACCCTGCAGCAGCTGAATCCTTCCCCCGGCACATGGCTGAAATTTGCATCTGCCAGTTGGGGTTTTGGCAGCTCTCTCTTGCATAGCCACAGACCATTATAAACACAGAAGATACACTCTATGAAATGCAGGCGACTCTCAGCTGATGTGAATTACAAAAGGCTACAATAAGCATTAAACACCCTCAAATCTGGCCAGACCAGAGCAACAGATGAGTGCGCAGTGCTTCTGCAGGAGTAGCTGCCCTTGACTGAGGCGGTGTAGCCGCCCATTACCTGATGGCCAGTCTCCAAAGACACCTTGCATGGGCGTCCCTGGGCATCCCTGTGCTCAGTGAGCTGGCTCTCTGTCAGGAAGCACTCCTCGGGAGTGCAGTACCAGCCCTCGTAAGACCCTTTGTAGAGTGCTCCGCCGTCCCAGAGTGCGCCCCAAAAACGATGCACGGCTCGCTGGTGGCGGGGCTCACTGGTGCGGGTGAAGTCAGTGAAGGAGACGGCAGCCTGGGTCAAGGCCTGGTGGAAGAGGCCTGAAACCTGCTCGCAGAGCTCCGGGGGCGACGTCCCTGCCGCGGCTGCGGCCTGCTGGATCTTTAGCCCGTGCTCATCGGTCCCTGAAACG